TCTGTAAACTTTTTACATTTTCGACTTCTTCTCGAGAACCACTGGGCCAATTTCAACCAAACTTGTCACAAAGCATCCTTGGGGGAAGGGGATTCAAGTTTGTTCAAATGAAGGGCCACACCCTCTTTCAAGGGGAGATAATTAAGAATTAGTGAAAAATTAATAGCATCTTTTAAAAATCTTCTTCTCAACAACCACAGGGCCAAGAAAGATGAAACTCATGTGAAAGGATCCTCAGATAGTGTAGATTCAAGTTTGTTCAAATCATGACCCCCGGGGGTAGGACGGGGCCACAATGGAGGTCAAAGTTTTACGTAGAAATATGTAGGAAAAATCTTTAAAATCTTCTTCTCAAGAACAGCAAAGCAATGATGAGTTAGATTTATATGGAAGCATCCTCAGATAGTGTAAATTCAAGTTTGTTCAAATCATGACCCCCAGGGGTAGGGCGGGGCCACAATGAAGGATCAAAGTTTTACATAGAAATATATAGAAAAAATCCTTAAACATCTTCTTCTCAAGAACAGCAAAGCCATGATGAGTCACATTTTTAGGTCACCTGAGCCGAAGGCTCAAGTGAGCTTTTCTGATCGAAATTTGTCCGTTGTCTGTCGTCGTTGTCGTTGGCGTTGTCTGTCGTCGTTGTCGTTGGCGTTGTCGTTAACTTTTCACATTTTCATTTCACATTTGTCGTTAACTTTTCACATTTTCATCTTCTTCTCCAGAACTACTGGGCCAATTTCAATTTCAATCAAACTTGGCACAAAGTGTCCTTGGGTGAAGGGGATTCAAGTTTATTCAAATGCAAGGGGAGATAATTACGAAATATCAAACAATTAATGGCATTATTGAAAAATCTTCTCAAGAACCAATGGGCAAGGAAAGATGAAACCCATGTGGAATTATTGTCAGGTAGTGTAGACTCAAATTTGTTCAAATCATGACCCCAGGGGGTAGGGTGGGGCCACAATGGACGATCAAAGTTTTACATAGGGATATATAGGAAAAATCTTCAAAAATCTTCTTCTCAAGAACAGCAAAGCTATGATTGGTCATATTTATATGAAAGCATCCTCCTGTGGAGTAGATTCAAGTTTGTTCTAATCATGACCCCCGGGGAGTAGGGTGGGGCCACAATGGACGATCAAAGTTTTACGTAGCAGTATATAGGAAAAATCTTCAAAAATCTTCTTCTCAAGAACAGCAAAGCAATGTTTGGTAATATGTAAATGGAAGCATCCTCAGGTAGTGTAGATTCAAGTTTGTTCAAATCATGACCCCCAGGGGTAGGGTGAGGCCACAATGGATGATCAAAGTTTTACATAGGTGTATATAGAAAAAAATTTTTCAAAAATCTTCTTCTCAAGAACAGCAAAGTTATGATTGGTCATATTTATTTAGAAGCATCCTCATGTGATGTGGGTTCAAGTTTGTTCAAGTCATGACCCCCGGGGGTAGGGTGGGGCCACAATGGAAGAATAAAGTTTTAATTAACATAGGAGTATATAGGAAAAATCTTCAAATCTTCTTCTCAGGAACAGCAAAGCTATGATTGGTAATATTTATATGGAAGCATCTGCAGGTGGTGTAGATTCAAATTTGTTCAAATCATGACCCCCGGGGGTTGGTTGGGGCCACAATGGACGATCAAAGTTTAACATAGGATTATATAGGAAAAATCTTCAAAAATTTTCTTCTCGAGAACAGCAAACTTATGATTGGTCATATTTATTTGGAAGCATGCTCAGGTAGTGTAGATTCAAGTTTGTTCAAATCATGACCCCCGTGGGTAGGGTGGGGCCACAATGGACAATCAAAGTTTTATGTAGCAATATATAGGAAAAATCTTCTTCTCAAGAACAGCAAAGCTATGATTGGTCATATTTATATGGAAGCGTCCTTAGGTGGTGTAGATTCAAGTTTGTTCAAATCATGACCTCAAGAGGTAGGGTGGGGCTACAATGAAAGTTCAAACTTGTAGAGAAAAAAGTCACAGTCAAAAAATCATGTAAGCATCCTTAGTTAGTGTAGATTTAATTTTGTTCAAGTCATACCCCCCCCCCTCCCACTCCCTTTTAGGGGTAGGTTGGGACCACTTATGCATTTAAGCTTTTCAATACTAAACAGATTTTTCCTCTTTTCCTAGCCACAGTGCTCAGTTGAGTGATGTGGCCCCTGGACCTCTTGTTATGGAAGCATCCTCAAGTAGTGTAGATTCAAGTTTGTTCAAATCATGACCCCCGGGGGTAGGGCGGGGTCACAAAGGAGGATCAAAGTTTTACATAGAAATATATAGGAAAAATCCTTAAAAATCTTCTTCTCAAGAACAGCAAAGCCCTGATTGGTCATATTTAAGTGGAAGCATCCTCAGGTAGTGTAGATTCTATTTTGTTCAAATCATGACCCCCGGGGGTAGGGTGGGGCCACAATGGAGGATCAAAGTCGTAAATTGAAATATATAGGAAAATATCTTCTTCTGAAGAATTGCAAAGCCATGATTAGTCATTTTGATATGGAAGCATCCTCAGGTAGTGTAGATTCAAGTTTGTTCAAATGATGACCCTGGGGGTAGGGTTGGGCCCAATGGGGGATCGAAAGTTTTACATCAGAACATATAGAAAAAAATTTCTTCTCAAAAACAGAAAAGCTATGTTTAGTCAGATTGATATGGAAGCATCTTCAGGTAGTGTAGATTCAAGTTTGTTCAAATGATGACCCCTGGGATAGGGAAGAGCCACAATGGGGGATCAGATTTTTACAAAGGAATATATGGGAAATCTTTTTAGGTCACCTGAGTCACTCAGGTGACCTATTGCTATCCGTTCTCGTCAGTCGGCGTGCGTCGTGCGTCGTGTGTTAACATTTGAACATTTTTAGCTTCTTCTCTAAAACCGCTTAACTAATTTCAACCAAATTTGGCATATAGCATCTATGGGTAAAGGGGAACAAAAATTGTGAATTTCATGGTCCCTGCCCCCCTGGGGCCTGAGGGGTGGGGCTAAAACCACCAAAAATAATGCAATCTTTAAAAATCTTCTTCTTTACTCCAGGACATCAAGCAGTCAAACTGTTGGCATCATTGTAACAAGCATTGAGCCCTCTACCAAAATTGTGAAATTCATGGCCCCAGGGTCAGGGGTTCTGGTGTTAGGGCGGGGCTCTATTGATTATATAATGAAAATGCATTATTTCTTTGAAAATCTTCTTCTCTGCTCCTGGGTATTAAATAAAGTAACTTAGTATATAGTTATGATGATCAAGAGAGCCTCTTCCAAAATTGTGAAATTCATGGCCCCAGGGTCAGGGGTTCTGGCCCCAGGGTGGGGCTATATAGATCATATAGTGAAAGTGCATTATTTCTTTGAAAATCTTCTTCTCTGCTCCTGGGTATTAAATAAAGTAACTAAGTACATAGTTATGAAGAGCAAGAGTGCCTCCTCCGAAATTGTGAAATTCACGGCCCCAGGGTCAGGGGTTCTGATGTTAGGGCGGGGCTCTATTGATTATATAGTGAAAATGCATTAATTCTTTGAAAGTCTTCTTCTCTGCTCCTGGGTATTAAATAAAGTAACTAAGTACATAGTTATGATGATCAAGAGAGCCTCTTCCAAAATTGTGAAAGCCATGGCCCCAGGGTCAGGAGTTCTGGTGTTAGGGTGGGGCTCTATTGATTAGTGAAAATGCAGAGATTCTTTGAAAATCTTCTTCTCTGCTACTGGAGATTATTTAAACAAACTAAGTGCAGGGTTATGATGCATAAGGATGCCTTTTCAAAAATTGTGAATTTCATGGCCCCAGGGTCAGGGGTTCTGGTGTTAGGACGGAGCTCTATTGATTATATAGTGAAAATGCATTGATTCTTTGAAAATCTTCTTCTCTGCTACTGGAGATTATTTAAACAAACTAAGTGCATGATTATGATGGGCAAGGATGCCTCTTCCAAAATTTTTTAAATATATGGCCTCAGTTTTTGGGGTTCTTGAGGAAGGTGGGGGGGGGGGGCTCTATTGATTATATAGTGAAAAAGGATTAATTCTATTAATTAATCATTAATTAATCCTGTGTGCTCCTTAGCATTGAGCAGATAAATAAATTGCTTAGCTATGATGAAAATGGGAGCTTTGAACAGAATTTTAAAATCTTGTGGTCCTAGGGTCAGGGGTTCTGGCATAATGAGGGGGGGGGGCTTTTGATAAAATAGTGGAAAAGTGTTAATTCTTTGAAGTCCGTAGTTATGATGATGAGTATAACTCTTCCAAGTTTGTAAATTTCTTGACCCTTGGTCTTGGGTTCTGGTGTTAAGGTAAGGCTTTGTTGAATCTGTAGTGAAAATGCATTGTACCTGTGAAATTCTTCTCTGCTTCTGGGCATATCGGAAGAAAACTGATTAAAAGTTTAAATGATATAAGTAAGCGTATTTCTACCAGATTTTTGAACATCTGGACCATTTGTCGAAGCATTCTAGTCCTGGGCAGGGCTCTATTAATTTGTATTCTACTGAGAGAAGTTATTCCCCTTTTCCATTCACCTTTGATAATTAATCACTGTAAATAATGTATTTGAAAGGTTAATAGAACTAGTAGACTAATTGTTCACAGAACAATTAGAGGTCTTTCCACCTTTAAATATATGTTTTAATACATTTGACTTTTATTTTGAAAAAAAAGAAAGAAAATTGGCATCATATCAAAGATCGAGTGTCATTTTATTTAATACGATAAAATGTGATTCAGTGTATTTAATGTTTTCCTATGTATTACATTTTTTATGTATAGTACTGCACAACGTTATTTTTTTTTAATATGATTTAATAAAAGAACATTTTCTATGTACTTTTTAGTTGATTAAAGTACTTAAGTGATTATCATGGAATGGAAAATGTTATTCAGCGAGTGAATATTCACCGATGATTCATTTCCGGATTTGAATCCGTCTTTCAACCACGTTTTATTTCGCTATTGTCTTTTTCCGGTTGTGAAACCACGTAGACACAGGCACGGAGGCAGTCTTCGAAGTTGTTATTACGCGTTGAATTTGTGTAGAAAATACTCATCGAATCAAAATAAACACGTCTTAAGAGTAAGTATATACTACATGTTTTTTTTAAATGAATGTGTTTGTGACGACTGAGACAGAGTGCAGGCATCAAAGGGCCATAACTGTTATTATAGTACTGTTGCATGACAATAAAAATATGCATAAAAGTCCCAAATATTCTTCAGTTTTAAAAGTCTTTACTAATATTGCATGGTTGAATATCAGAGACATAGATAGTTTATGTCTCGGTTGAATGCATAAAAAATAATAATTGTACCATAGTCAAAAAATATGCAGTAAAGAGGCAGGGACCTATTAGTATATAGGTCCCTGAAACAGGTAAGCATTTGTATTGTTCCTTAAAAAAATCTTTGATCAAGGTATTTGTAATACCTTAATAAAGCTATATAGCTTTATCAAGCTATATACCTTTATCAGGGTATTGTGCTGGACCTGATTATTTTAGCTTATGATCATTCATTTCTCATTATTGATTATGGTCACAATTTTACATTCTATAACACATGTTCAGACCTAATTTTCTCTGCCATCAATAAAAGATGTATCATCAATGTTTACAGTTGTAGGAAACTTCAAACCCATTGTTGTTGTATTCTTTCAAAAGTATGAGGAGAATTAACATTATAATGCTGTTTTAAATATGATTAAGAAGAATGTACCTTTGCAAAGAATAAATTCAGTAAGATATGAGTTGTTTGTTCTCTGAATATATGAAACATGATTCAGAAAAGAACACATGCACAATTGATATATTAGAGAGGTTAAGCAGATGACCATGTAAGTCTACATGTATGTGTAGCTAGGGAAAACCCCTAATTTACTGCGATTCACATCATCAGATTTGCTTACTGCACACAACATGTAGCTTCATAAGTACACAGAGGTAAGAATGCGTAGCTTCTTAAACTCAAATTATAGAATATATATTTTTCAAGTGGTGTTTGTTGTGATGTTGAGAGTTTATTACATACATATGTATCTTTTTTAATCAAAGTCATAGAATTATTTGATAAAAATTGGATTGTAAAGTGACTTGTTGAAATGATGTTTTACACATACTGGTACACATACAGTTTGTTAAACAGAACACAATGTTACGCCATCTTGTAAAAACACTTTTAGGTTTACACGTACACGTAGACACACATGGTCAAATGCGCAACCTCTCTATTGATCGAAATTTGAACTTTTTATCTTGTATGTTTGTAATAAAATGGACATACAAGTGATTTGGTGTGCTTATAAGCAATAATAACTCTGTATTTATATATGAATATAAGGCTGGAAAGATTGCATTTTGTATCTGTGTTCACTATTGTCCAAAACCTTTTTTTAATGTCTAAATAATGATGAGTCACTCTTTCAAGAGAGTTACATGACACCTAACATCTAGGTTGTATTTCCTTTGCTTCTTTTTCATATCGCAATATCAAGAATCAGCAATCGCTACAAACATTAGTGCCAAATCATTGATAAGTATTAAGAAGAGAATCATGAATCATTCTTTTCCTCTTTCACTCAGCTAGGACTCAACTTGCACATCAGAAATAACTTATTTTAAATGCTCATTAACATTTTATTACATTCAACTTGATTCAAGCAAAAAGTCAATATGGATAATTTATCTTATATTAGCATTCCCTTAATTTAATGTATTTATGATTTTCATTGGAAAATTCATGCACTTAACTTAGCTCAGTTTTAATGAAACATGAACCATTAGAGTGTATTGGCTAAGATGTGCAGTTCTAATATTATGATAATTAGATTTTCAAATTACATTATTAGTTCTTCTGAGCCAAAGGCTCAAAGAGCTAATGCTATGGCCATTTGTGTGGTGTGCGTAAACTTTTTAGAATATGGGCCATAACTCAAGAACCCCTTGGCCAATTATTGTCAAATTTGTCACAGGGTATCCTTGGCCCAAGGGTTCTTGTTTGAACAAAACTAGGGTTGTGACCCTTAAACAAGGGGGAGATAATTAGGTAAAACCAAAAGTACTGGTTGCTAAAAAATCTTCTTAAGAACCACTGGGCAGATTATCACCAAACTTACACAAAAGAATGAGGATATGTCGTAGATTAAAATTTGCTTGGGGAATCACCCTTGGGCAAAGGGTGTGTTCTCAAGGTCACTTCAAGTTGACCAAAAATTACATTTAATTAAAATGCTGATATTTTGCTTACTTTATGGACTAGGATCATCAAATCTTGTCAGTTGATGCATCTGTGGACCTCATATCATGTTGACTCAAAAGTAGGTCATGGTGATCTACTTTTTAAATTTTGAGGCCATTCTTTTTATGCCCCCCCCCCCTAAAATGGCCAGACATATAGTGTTACCCTGTTCTGTCATTCTGTCATTCCGTCATCATTCAGTTTCCATTCATTATCTCTGCAACAGTTGCACACATTCAACTCAAATATGACATATGGATACGTCTTAGGAATACGCAGGTCAAGTTTGAATTTGGTCATGGTCCGATGATTTTTGACAGAGCTATCCCTCTTGAACTTGGAAAAAAAAAGAAATTTTCAGTTTCTGCTCTCCAACTTTTGTAGGGATTACGTATAAGGTTGAAATATAAAATTGGGCCTCTTGTATTAATTTTGAAATTACATTTACAAATAATAAATCTTCTTTTCAATATAAGTAATACATGTATATTATACATGTATTACTTATATTGAAAAGAAAATTTATTTTTTAGATTAATCAGACACATTGTCATTACATGAATTAATGTGAGCTTGGGAATATGAATAAATCACAGTGACCTACTATCTGAATTTAATGGCTATTTATTTACATTTGTTCTGAACTTAATATCTTGGAATATTAAAAAGGTACATTACAACCATAAACCTACTAGTATATCAGTTAATGTAGTTAATGTTTTATTTTGTGACATTTTTAAAAGACATTTTGGGCACCAAACCTAGAAATCTTGATGTCTCTAGGGACAAGGGAATGTGTCAACCAAAAGTTCAGTGATTTTATTTTTCGCATCAAATATTTTAAGGTTAGATACTTTAAGGCTGAGAATTATCAAATCCTGTCAGTAATATGGCTCTTGTTATCAGTATGATAAATATGTTGAATAAGGCTATTTCATTTGTGACAAATGTTTCCTAAAAAATACAATAAAGAATATATCACAGATAGTAAGCTTAAGTAAACACATGGAAAAAAAATCTACAAGAGTTTTCTCTGACTTGATTCAAGTGCGAATATCAATGATCAGATATTTGTAATACAAGTACTAACATTACTTATATATCCACACACAAGACTATTCCTCAAAGAAATGACATTTATCTATGTGAGATTTAATATTTCTCATAGTATAACAGTTTTATTTTATTCTTCATTTTCAGCAAATATTTTTTCTGTACTAGTTCTGGTGAAAGGGGGGGGGGGGTGGGGGGGCTCTATTGATTATATAGTGAAAATGCTTAATTTCTTTCAAAATATTTTTTTTCAACTACTGGTCATAAAGCAAAGAAACAAGTGTATAGTTATGATGAGCAAGTGCTTCTTCCAGAATTGTGAGTTCATGCATGGCCCCTGGGTCAGATGTTCTGGTGTAAGGATGGGGCTTTATTCATTTAATAATATAGTGAAAATACATTTCTTTGAAAATCTTCTATGCTTCTGGGCATATTAAAGGCAAACAGAGTAAAAGTTTTAAAATGCAAAGGTATTTTTACCAGAATTTTGGACACCTGGACCATTTAGTCAAGTGTTCTGGTTCTGGTCAGGGCTCTATTAACTTGTATTCTGCTGAGCAAAGTTATTCCCCTTTGCCATCCACCTTTGATAATTAATCACTGTAAACAATGTATTTGAAAGGGTAATAGAATATGAGAATTATGCAAGAATATTTATTGTATAATACAAAAAGTACTTTCATAGTTTTAATGATCAGGTAGACTTGGAAATAATAGGTGAATAAAAATGAGACAAAAATAACTTATCTTTTTAAATGTTCTTCAAAGGCCAAGATAGGGCAATGTGAGAATTTAAGTAATAATAATATGGGTTAAAGAATAGACAATTTGTTAATAGTCTGCATGGTAATAGTGATAAATGGGGGACAGATTAGATACTTAGACCAATTATTTTGTTGATGTTAATCATATTATTTTTCTTGCTTTTTGGGCAACAAAGCTTCTTTTATCAGTTTATGGATCCTCTAAATTGTTGTATTGCACTCAGATGACCTTTAAGGCCCTTGGGCCTCTTGTTAATGATAACTTTTTTATTTACTTAAAAAACTAGAATAACCACCTTTTCAATTTTAATTGGTCTCAACATGAATGTAAAGGAAGAGATGTTTTATTACAGAGATTGTATAAACTCTTCTTGCTGTCTGTAGACATTTAAGATGCAGGTTGTAAAAACCATGTGATGAAGAAAAAAAAACAGCACTTTATTGGAATCCTTTCTCTGTGTTTGTAGGAAATTGGAAAAGTTACATGAAAGAAATATCCACTAAATTAAATTGTAGATAAATTCTAGGTGGACCATTTTCCTGGATAAAATTTTGTCAAGAGTACTTCTGCTACTTTTTTAATATTTCTTCAAGATGAAAGAATGATGATTATATTCTGCAACTGTCATGTTATATATTTTTTTTTCAGGTTATCTGGTAGTTGAGATACAGTGAAATCTGAGTGAAGCTGAGGCGATATTGAATACAGCATATTAAATCTTGTGTTTGTCATTAGGCCTGACAAAAATTGGTGTGTTTATACATTCGTTCAAGAAATAAAGTATTGCAAATTTCTCTCTCTTTGCATCAATAAATCAGTCTATCTCTCTGTCAAGAATTGTTTTGATGCAATAAGTTGTATATCTTTTAAAGTCATTGAGTATTTCACATATAATTGTAGTATTTTTCTGCCTAGCCATGAACATGCCTGGGCTTTTAGTGTTTGTCATATTCATCTTTTGCTCCCCATTCTTATTTTTCTTTCCATATGTCAGACTTTGGATTTAGCTATTTTATCAAACTTCATACAAAGATGCATTTAGATGAGAAAAATTCTTCATTTCACACCTTTCAAGTTTTTACCTTCCATATGACCATGACCTGAGCTGAATGTTCATGTGGGCTTTTCTGATCAAATTTTGTTCAGGGTCTGCCTGCATATCTTGAAGATTCAATTTTGTTTGTTCATTTTATGAACCCTGGGGATAGGGTGGGACCACTAAAGATTATCAAATTGTAACCGAGGAAGACAGAGAAAAAAAAATTAAGACCATCTTTTCAAATTCCACTCAACCAGAAGAGTTGAAACTAAGTGAAAGTTTCAGTACATAGTGTAGATTCAAGTTTATTCAAATAATGGCCCGGGGGGTGGGGGTAGAGTGAGGCCACAATTGGAAAAAAATTACTAAGGAATATAAAGAAATAAATCATTAAAAATCTTTTCAGGAACAACAAAGCAATTGTAAATCATTTTTATGTTGAAGCCTCATCAGGTTGTGTACACGTGAGTTTGTTCAAATCATGACCCCGGCTGAGGCCACAGTGAAAGATCAAAGATTTACATTATCTTATATATGGAAAAATCTTTAAAAGCCTATTCCTCTAAAACAGCACAATTATGATTTATATTTGTATAAATGCATCATATATTCTAGTGTGTTCAAATCATGACCTTTGAGAGGAGATTGGAGCTTTATATGTGGTCTAAGTTTTAGGGGGAAATCTGCTAATAACTTGATAACTTGATAAACTGATAAGAAACCTGGGGTTCACCAGTAACATTTGACCCTCCTTGTATGTGATGTTGAACTTCACTTTTGAAGATTTTTAGCTCTTATGAGCCAGAGGCTCAAAGAGCTAATGCTATGGCCATTTGTGTGGTGTGCATAAACTTTTTAGAATATGGGCCATAACTTAAGAACCCCTTGACCAATTTTTGTCAAATATGTTACAGAGTATCCTTGGCTCAAGGGCTCCCATTTTTACTAAAACTGGGGACGTGACCCTTAAACAAGGGGAGATAATAAGGAAAATAAAACCAAAAGTACTGGTTGTGAAAAAAATATGATGATGATGAACCAGTGGGCAGATTATCACCAAACTTACACAAAAGAATGAAGATATGTTGAGGATTAAAAATTGTTCAAGGCATCACCCTGGGACAAAGGGCGAGGTCTCAAGGTCATCGTGACCTACTTTTGAAATTTTATGACTTTATTTAAAAAATTTCAGGTACTAATTGGCTTAGAATCCTCAAACTTTGTCAGTTGCTGCGTCTTGGGTAATTACGAAAATGTCATCTGAAAAGTAGGTCACAATGACCTACTTTTGATATTTTATGGCTATATTTAAATATTTCTGGTACTTATTGTTTAAGAATCATCAAACTTTGCCAGTTGATACATCTTTGGTCCTTGGAGAATGTCAACTGAAAAGTAGGTCACTGTGACCTACTTTTGAAATTTTATGGCTATATATAAAATATTTCAGGTACTAATTGACTTACAATCAACAAACTTTATCAGTTGATGTATTTGGTCCTCAGAGTATGTCAACTGAAAAGTAGGTCACTGTGACCTACTTTTGGAATTTTGCGATATATTAATGTTTTGAGATACTAATTGTCTCAGAATCATCAAACTTTGTCAGTTGATGTATTTTGGGGTCTTGGAGTGTTTTTTTTTCCAAAAAGGAGGTCACTGTGACCTACTTTTGGAATCTCAAGGCTCTGTCTGAATATTTTAAGATAGTAAGGGGCTTAGAATCATCAAACTGTGTTAGTTGATGCATCTTGGGTTCTCAGAGTGTTTTATTCAAAATATCTTAATTTAAGGATACTCAGAGGCTTTAAATAGAAGTGATAGGTTGTATAATTTATCAGAAGAGCGATTCAAGGCCCTTGGGCCTCTTGTTTTTTTTATCAAACTTCAACTAAGGTACAAACAGATTATAATTGTTCAAGTGTGTCATATGTGTCAACTGTGCCTTGACCTTCCCTATGAACCAACTTTCCATTTGACCTTAAACTTCACTTTTCAAGATATTTATATCAAAGTTTATGACAAGAGGAATTCAAAGGTTTCAAAATATTTAGCTCTTCTATCTGAGACCAAAAGAAATTATGCAATAGTAAAGTGGCTGTCCATATGTCTGTTTATCCATTTTTTTTTTCAAAATGCCTCCTCATTTGTCTCCAGTCCAATTTTAATATAACTTGGTACATAAGTAAACTACACTAGGATACCTAATTCTATATTTTTGTTTGTCACTACTTATTGCAGTATAGATTCAAGTTAGTTCAACCCCCCCCCCCCCAAAAAAAAAAAAACCACTTTTATATCAAAACTTTTCAAGACTGAACTGATTTCTGCTTTTTCCCAGCCAGAGTGCTCAGGTGAGCGGTGTGGCCCATGGGCCTCTTGTTAAGTGATGGGATTTTTAAAAGTGTTTCAAAAAGCATTCAATTCATTCAAGAAGTGCAAGTTTTTTATTTATTGAAACTTAAATACTTGTTACTGAATTCTTGTTTAATATTTTTCAGAATATGCCACGTAAAGCAAAAAAGTCAACTAACAAAAAGGCATCTGAGCAGAGGCTAAGAATGCAAGAGAGGAGAAATCAGGCCACAACACAGAGCAACATCTCTTTAAACTGTCCAGAAGAGAGCAACATCTCTTTAAACTGTCCAGCAGAGAGCAACATCTCTATAAAATGTCCAGAAGAGAGCAACACCTCTATAAACTGTCCAAAAGAGAGCAACATCTCTATAAAATGTCTAAAAAAGAGCAACACCTCTATAAAATGTCCAAATCAAACAGAGAATGAAAAGAGCAACATCTCTTTAAAATGTCCAAATCAAATAGAGAATAAAAAAAATGCACATGAAACAAACAAGTTAAAGAGAAACAGACAAGACAATGAAAACTTAAACAAAATTGCAAGTACACCATCAGTGAAGCTTTGTAAAAAAGAGAGAAATGAAAACGGAGTACACTCTGTCAATGAACAAGATAGAGTGGTAGTTCAAGGTAGTTTCCACCAGGGAGATGTTAGGTTTGGAAGAAATAGTGGAAAGCAATGTGTTGCAAACAGTTTATCAGCAATAGCTCATAGCAAATTGAAAGATATAGATAAGTGGGATGAGACGTATCTGGACAATGTACTAATCAAAGGAGATGAGCTTTATACTCTGGTTCATGGCACAAATGACTTGTTGTTAATGTCAGATTTACCAGAAGTGATTGAAATATCAGGGAAAATGATGCAGGTTAAAAAAAAAAGACTCAATCACAGCAACAGTTGACACAAATGGAACCATTGATTTCAGTGATTTTGATAATTGTCTGCCACTAGATCTGGCAATACAGGAATCACTTATAGACTCTGATGGTTGTTTCATATGTGCCATTGATAAAACCTTCATGGTAATGAAGTATAACCATGATATCTATCTGTTTGATTCTCACGCAAGAAATAAATTTGGTTTGGTAGATGGAAATGGGAAAAGTTTATTGATGCGGTTAGAGAACTTGGATCATTTATATCATTACTGCTGTAATTTGGTGCAAGGGGTAAGTCAATTAAACCAATGGTTTGAAGTCACAGGTCTTAGTGTAACAATCGAAGATTCTTCAGATGAAACCTTTTTGAACAGCCAGAATATAGTTGAACAACACTTTCTAGATGCGTTAACACCAAATGTAAACAATGTAGAAGAGTGGGAAGATGATTCCTCAAGACACCAATCTTCAGATTTTACTATTATATCTGAAAGAAAGGATGGGCGTGAAAAATGCAATAATCAGTCATTTATAAATTCAACAAAAGTGGAGCTTTTATCGGAAGATGAAGTTTACGATCACTCTAATGACTGTGCAAGAAACCATTCATCAGATGCAGAAATTCTGTTTGAACATGAAACATGTCTGAGTTACGACTTTATACCTCTATCAATTAGAACAAAGAAGAAATTATGCTCTGTAATGAAAAATCCCTTCTAATCAGTGTAAAGGGCAATCTGACGTTGCAAGCAAATTGGGACCACCAAAAGCGACCAAAGAAATAGGAAAGGATGGAAATTGTCTCTTTAGGGCAATTTCATATGCTATATCGAATAGACAACAGCATTATCAAAATGTTAGAAAATCTATTGTCAATCACATGAAAAATTCTGCCGAGACATTAAAATCCTTTCTAAGGCCACAGTTTGAATCTATGCAGAATTACATCAGAATCTCTGGAATGGAAAAGGATACCACTTGGGGGACTGAGCTCGAAATTTTAGCCGCAGCAGATCTACTGAAAACCGACATCTTTACTTATCTGAATGGGTCTTGGGTGAAATACTCATCTACTCAAATATGCAGCAGCAATGAAGTGAACAAGGAAGCAATTTACTTAAAAAACATCAGCAACATCAATCATTATGAATGTGTCACGTCTGTTAATGTAACAGAAAGTGATTTGAATGTAAGAGACTCACGACCAGGAAAAAAGAAGCAAAATTTTAAAAGGAAATCTGTGAATATTTCGGCTACAAAACTAAGTAAAATTGATAGTTTGGACAGTGAGTCAGACAATGAAAAAAAGCCTAAAGCAGAAAAACAAAAGGAAAGGTACAAGGCTTGTCAGGAACTAAGAGAAAAAAAGATAGCGGTTTTAAAAGAGAAATATTTAAAAGACCAACAGCATAGAGGCACAGTAAGGAAACGTACAGCAAACTATTACGAAAATGATGAGGAATATAGAGAAAAAGTGAAGAGAGCAAGCAAGGAAAAATATAAAAAGAAGGTAGA